TGAGGTTAGTGTAAAGGATTATCGAGTTAAAAAGCGCAATATTGGTTAAAAATAATCGCAATTTTAATTTTTGGGAGAAATCGTTCAGCCGTTTTGCCTATTGATTATTGACTTAACTAAGATAACAGGAATATGTTAATGCAGCAAGTCTCCCCATCTCCCATGAAATAAAGATTCCTTTGCCTTTAAAAAGGAAAACGGTTTGCAGTATTAATATCGGCATTGAATTGTTGGTAAAAATAATAATAATAATAATAATAATAATAATAATAAATAACCCTACTGATTAGTTGCAATAAAAAGGGGACTGCAGACTCTTAAGCTTTTTCTGCATCCCAAAAACTAACAGTGAATTGGTCCTTACAGCAATAAACAGGAACTCAAGCAAAGGAAGTTAAAAAGGAGAACCACATCAGCCTAAGACAACTAAAAAGATTTTTGGTCACGTTATTGCTGTGCTGTAGGGAGGAAAGAAGTTTCTTGCAGCAGCTGCCTTTCACTACCTGCTGAGTCACTATAAATCACGCTAGCATGAGACAGAGAGGAGATAAGAGAGAAAATGTTATCAAATGCCAGAGGCGTTTAATTTGTGAGGTTTCAGAAGTGAAAAAACACATTAAGGATATCCAAATTAAAGCTAGCTGAACCCAATGGGATTCTACATGTAGTCGTTAACAGGTATGAGACCAAATGACTCTTTATTAACAAACAGCAGGAAGAGTCTCAGTGGAGTGAGAAAACAACTTCAGGGATTTTCTTTTCTTGATGGGCATAGCAACATGTCTGAATTTAAACACAGCCTTAGAGATACCATCTGAGATAAGTAGACCACTTTTTAGTTTTTAAACATTCAGGGTTTTCCCATCAAGCACTGTTAACAGGGACATTACTACGGAAAACCCTGACATTAGTACAGAATGGTGGCATCATAAACAATTGCTAATATATAGCAACTGCGCTGATAAACCAGGTCTGACCCCAACACAGACTCATCTAAAACAGAAAGCACATTTAAAGCAAACTGAAGAGTTTAATTCCAACTCATTATCTTTCCCCAATGAATTAACTAGATGAGGAAAAAATATAAGCCACTGGATTTGCATTAAAAATAATGATCAGATTAAGATATTTAAAAAGTATATTTTAAGTTAAAAAAAAACCTTAAGCTTGCCTCTACATATTACACATTTGAACTGTGAAGTACTGACAATTAAAACTCAGCAAAACCAAGCATTCAAAACTGAAGCCTAGAAATACAGTAGAGTGTAATTCAATATATATGGGCCCTGAACAGCACAACACAATACAAACAGGACAGGGCTGTTTTATAGATAAATCGTAAACAGATGTTACAATAATATTCTCTGATTTTATGGTTTTATTCCCCATCATTTGGATGCTCTCTGGATTCAGTGCTGGAGGTGGAAAACAAAGGATCCTAACTAAAATATAATCTCTGTTGGATAATGTCTCCCAACCCATGCATGAAGCTGTTGCTGAACTGGAGAGCTCCTTCAGTGACAGACTGCTGCACCCTAAATGCACCAGGGAGTGTTATCACATATGCTTTCTTCCAGCAGCTCTAAGACTCTATAACCACCATTGTTCCCAACAACCTCAATAAATTGTTACATTCATGCTGATTTTTGCAGTTTCTATCTTAGTCAGTTAAATAACATGCTGCTGTCATTTTTAGCACATCTCTTGTGTTGCTGCTATTTTTCATTTCAATTAAATTTATTTATATAGCGCCAATTCACAACACGTCATCTCAAGGCACTTTACAGTTCACCAGATCATCCAGTCAAATTGATTCAAAGTTTTCTATGAAAAGAAAACCAGTTGATTGCATGGACTCATTGATTCAGATGCAATCCTTCACACCAAGTATGCTTTTAGCGACAGTGGAGAGGAAAAACTCCCTTTTAACAGGAAGAAACCTTCAGCAGAACCAGATCACATTTTACTGTAAAAATGTCCACTGCTGCATTTGATTTTTTCCTACTTCCAGATACAGAGTATTTCTGTTGTAAAAACCTTTTACAGCAAAATGCTATTTTCCTATCTGTTATATGTACACACTTTCTAATGTGCATCATTTTTGCACATCATCTCCCCCTTTGTAGCTGTAAACAACACAATTTCCCCATTGTGGGACAATAAAGGGATTTCTATTCTATCATACCAGCTGGGTTGAGATCTGATTGGAAACATAAACATGATATCAAATCCCAATCACATATACCCAATGTTAGGCATTTCACACTTACACATGCTGCAGATGTTTCTTTCAAATTGATGTTGCTCTTCTGTTGTGAGAAAGCCTGATTAAACAGTGAGTTGTAGTCAAACCAAACAGACCGGGCACACATGGATCCCGAGCTATTGTGCTAAAATTAGGCGCTGAATCTATTTGTATTATGCTTTTCTGACAGGAAGGGTGTGCCATTTAAAAAGTGTTACATGTATAGTGCGTCTCTAGTGGATGCTGGCTATGTATGTGGGTGGATCTGAGAGTGCATGGCTGTATTATGATCTTCACATAATTATAACAGGTGTATCAAAGCTTTTATTACTGTAAATATGTATAAATGCATGCAATAATAGATTTTTTTTCAAATGTTTATTAATAATAGCACAGCTGAACACGGTCAGAAAGAAGGTGAAGGTCAACCTCTGCATTAAAATGAGATAAAGAGGAATAACCAGTCAGTAATCCCGTCAATCCTAATGGAGCATTAGAAAGAAACAGGCTGAAAGCAGGTATGCTAGGCCCGGGGTTATTATGCTCGCTCTGCTTTCACCCCAGCAGACAAAAATGGTCTGGAAAGGAAAATGTGAAAGCCCAACCCAAATACTAATACATAAAATATAAGAAATTATTCAGCCTTTCCCTATTTCCTCACAGCATCACCACGACGTTTTACCCCAACGGCTAATAGGCTTACCGGACAGTTCGTCGGGTTCCAGCCCGCTTTCGGTGTCGAGTCCGCAGATCACAAAATAATCTGCGAACCGGGAGGAACCGGAGCTGAAGCCGGTGGTCATTTTGAGACTGGTCCGGTGATGCCCTCAGCTCTGGGACGTGGAGCATATTAAAGGGACTAGGAGACGTGATTTCTCCAGTCCATTACGTGAGCGACGTTACTGCAAGGGTTGAAAATCTGCACTCATATTTAGCTGAAGCCGCAACGGCGACAGCGGAGCGACTCACTTCCGCCCAAACCCCTTCAAAATAAAACGCCGTTTCAAAATAAAACTTCGTTCAAAAATAAAATCTCAACTGAGCCAGAGGCGTAGCCAGAACATTTTTAAAAGGGTGACCAGGCAATAACTAATGTACACTGTAGGGTGGCCGAAAGCGGATCGGCACCAGAACCTTAGGGTCAATCTATACTGATTCAACGAACACCCATATTTTCCAAATAAAGACAAACTATACTTTCCTACAGCCTTTGTTTTGGGTGTTCTGGGTTGAACATCTTTTCTATTGTCATTACTTACCTACTTTTATCAATAATCATTCTGCATAAAATTTTAATTTACAAGTACTAATATCTACATGAATTGTTTATTTACTAAGTTTTTATTAAATTATTTATCTATGATTTAACAGAAGACTGACTTGCATTTTCTCTTTACCCCATATAACACAAAATCTAGTTCTGAAAAGTTAATGTTAGTATATTGATGTGCATAATTAACCACAGTGATTTGTGTCAAATAATTGTTAATCTATGAAAAATTAAAATGTTTTGAATATTGAGAGTATTACTGCTGCCACTGTCAGTATTATGAGGGGGAAAAATGGTATGGGTGGCCACAGGGGTGGCCGATGATTGGGTAAGGGTGGCCATGGCGACCCCTGGCCCCCCCTCTAGCTCCACCCCTGTACAGAATTAAGTCAAATGTTTTGGGGGGGTTTCTGACACGTTCTGTTCATATACCCGCTTAATTCTATGTAGATATTAGTAAATATCTGAGATCATTTGTCTGCTGAGTAATGAGTAAAGTAGCCAAAATGTGGACGCAGGTACAATATGTAAGTAAACATTAACAGCTTCATATGGATATTTAAACCAAAACGTACCAGGTAAGTTAGGAACATTAATAATGTACAATAGAATAATTTTGTCTCCTTAATGGTTGGAAAAAGAGAACTGCTCTAAAAAAATTTTTTGTTTATCCAATTTTAGCTGTCTAGATCAGTTTACAGCATCTGACCCAATATTAACAGCTAGACATTTAAATAAGAATAACAACAGCTAATTTATTCAAACTCTTTTTTGTCCCGCTTTATTTGTTGAACCATTTCGTAGGTTACATATATTTCTGTAGAGGATATAAAGATGCAAATAAATTTTTGACCTCAACTTTGTAGTATATAAATAATTGCTTACTGTTCTTATTAGCTTTTTAGATATTTTCAATTCGTTTTGTCATAAGTTGTCAAAGATGAACTATTGAGTAATATTCAGTTACAAAATTGCTTCTAACCGCTCTTAATATGATTTCAAAAGGAAAACACTTAAGTGGTGTCCCAAGGTTTCCAAACCACCATAGAAAGGTTTTAAAGGAAGATAATAAGACAGGCTGCCAGGATTTCCCACAATTTCCCCAATGTGGGACAATAAAGGGATTTTCTATTCTATTCTATTGCCTGAATGAGCCAATGTCACCGCCTGGTGGCACTATTCTATTATGGTTGCCTAAAATGTCCCGTCTCATTTTAAGGGGTTGTCTTCTCCCACATATCAAGTTAAACACACATTTTTAATATAAGTAAATTAGATGGTGCCTGAGTGAGGAGTTCATTCAAACCTAAAACAAACAAAAAAAATATTTCTCTTAAAGGAAAGATTCTGTGTTAAATCAGACTTTAGAAAGATCAGTTTTCCTGGTTAAAAGTTTAGCCTGGGCAGAGTTGCAATCTTTTTTCTACAAAGCGATACACTGCTTAGCAGATATTACTGCCTTTCAATAATCCAAAAAGAATGAACTGAATGACAAATCATATTTAATTAAGTTAAATGAATAAAAATCAATATTCAGTGTCAAGTCTAAAACTTATGAACATGAATTAAAATCTACCTGCTTAAATTTCCTGTCAGATGATGGAAAGTAATTTCTTGATTTTATTTGAAGATGGAATAAGATTAATTTTCTTGTAATTTCCAGTGGGTTTTGACTATTACAGATTTAAATAATTCAAATTCCCATTTTTAAGTCACAATTAGTGCAGTAAACATCCTGTTAAACAAAAAAGGACATTTTTATATTAACTATGCAATAGGTTACCAAGTTACAGGATTACATAACGTAAATACAGACGGATACATCATCACGATGATGAACTGGAACCAGTAAAAGCAACAGATGGCTTTCCAACCTCTGAGTACATCTCCACTCTGATGGACTGTATTTTCTCTTAATAAGTTAAAAATACTGACAGAAAAGGATCAATCATTGGAAGTTCTCCCAGTAAGAGAATCATTAACCTTTAAAAAGATACACTGAGGTCAAAGGACAACCTTTGAGGCAGAGAAGCCAAACCTGACTTTAGTTAAAGCAGTACATCCATTTTCTTACTGATCACATCATATTCAAAAAAAAAAAAAAAAAAAATCAGAAAGATGTGACAAAGCATTGTGTTTGTGATATAGATAATTTAGATACACAAAAAAATAAATAAATATTAAGGAAGGTTGGGGATTTAAAGATGCTACCATTGGAAGGTGTTATTCAGCTTAAATAGGCGACCATTGTTCCACTAACTTTAAAGATGAATGTTTTACTACGCCTCAATAAGACACTAGTGGCACTGATGCAGACAGCATCAGCTGCAGCGAAACCATCAATATATCCTACTAGTAGTAGCACCTTTACTCGTCAAGACACAATTAAAATACCAGTGCCTTAAATAAAAACAAATACAATCCAATTTCTCTTTTAGAAGATTTGCCAGAATAAGCAACAGGAGTCAGAAAGAAAAAGAAAAAATCTGCATAGAAGCAGACAAGTTGAAATTTTTGTTAACATGAGGAAAAAGCCACCAAAGCATGCATTTTGTGGTCAGTGCGTGTTAAGACTTCTTCGCCAACAGCACGCAAGCAGCTGCCAGTCTGACTGAAACAGAAGCAGCCGCTACGACGTTCCTGAACCGAGCAAAACCGGACATCAGGACCAGCCAGCGAATGAGATGCTGAATTTGTCGGAAGAGTTCTACTCTAGTTTCTGCTGCAACTTCTTCTGGAAGCAGACGGGCAAGATGGAGAGCACGGCGAGGATCCCGAGCACAGCCAGGGAGTTCCAGGACACAGCCTCGCCGGCGGTGGTGAGCTTGTACAGCGTTGTTCCAGCATTGATCGCCACAAAGGACGGTGGCGCCACTCCTAAGATAAACCAAGATAAAACACAGGTGAGTCAGTAACAACCGATCTCACCAACAGTAAAATAAAACAAAAAGCACTTAGGACTTTACCGAGCAAGGTGCCGACAAAGAACACCCCCAAAGGCACATTGATGACAGGCGAGGTGATGTTAATGAACCAGTTAGGAAGAAAGGGGGTTATCCTCAGGAAGATGATGTAATTGATTAAATGATCTCTGTGTTTGTCAACCTGCCAAAAAAATATATATATATAAATGTGATGCAACACAACAGATTGGTGACAAACCCTACATCCTTTAGCTTTACAGTAGAAATAACAAGAAAAGACTTAACAGCTTCACTGCATCTGCATAGAGCTAAAGTTGCTTGATCTAAACAATATTTAAAGTCCAAAATTCCCAGTTGAAGTTCTTTTTTTTTTCTTCTCAAAAGCAGAGCCTGAAGTTCACCTAAAACATGTCATGTTGAACCTTCAGAGGTTCCTTAAAAGTGCATATTTATATTATTACCTGTTGGGACCATTTCTGTGCTCGCTCTGTGAGGTATTTGTAGACCACAGGTCTGCCCACCAGATATGACAACATGTAGCAGAAGGAAGCTCCAAGGCCAGAGCACTGTCAGGATATTAGACACATGATGAAATATTAACACATGGTCAGGAAACCTCACAACTTGCGTTAAAAATGAACACAACTTAGAAAAAAAAAAAAAAACACAAAATAACATTGTTAGAACAAAACCCTCCCTGAGATAAAAATAACAGCATATTAGCGCACCGTCTATCTTTAACCAGCAGCTATATAAACAGTAGTAGCGCTGTTATTTAGAAACCAGACCATGTCGCTCCAAAGAAGACACAGAGGCCTTTGGGTTTTCGCACTTTAACCACAGCCGTCGCTGTCATGAACACATTTATGAATTTATTTTTTGCACACATCATTAGAATGTAGAAAAACTAAAGTGATTAAGGTACAAGTCATGTCACCGTTTTTAAGGTTTGGATGTTCAATTCAAATGTCTACAGAGATATGAAGAAAAAAACACTGTAATTCTATTTAGATTATTCTGGATGTACCGTTACATTAATTAGGTTGCCACTGTCAAATAGTGACAGTTTCAGTTTCGTTTTGTCACCTTTTGGTTACTCACCAAGCAGACTAAGAAAAGAGCCAGATGGAAAGGGTAAAGGTAGCCAGACAGGATGCTTAGGAAAATAGATCCAGGTATGGCAAACGTCTGGAGGCTGAGAGGAGGGTTAAGGTGAACAACTTTACAAATACATCAGGCACAAAAAAAAAAAGACTTTCTGATAAGCGTTATATGTCACAAAGTTCCAATTAATATTCAATCAAATGCTGCCATGAAACAAGCAAAATCCAACAAAAACAATATTAATGAATGGTTACTATTTGCCAAAATAGGGAAAAGTGATATTGACAAGTTAAAAGAAAACAATGTTTTTTGTTTTTTTTTTCTCTTAATTCAAGGATACAAAACATAGGTTGCAAAGTAAGCCACCAACACCTCTGTGTAGTAGGTGTCCTTGTATTTGGACAACACTGTTCCTAAAGCTTTGGCATCATCCATGTCTTTAGGTATCTTGATTTTTTCCATTTCATCCCTGTATTTAAAAAAAAAAAGAGAGAGAGAGAGAGAGAGAACTCTGATTCAGAACAAAGCATTAAATCCCCATTTTAGACAAACAAAACTGTCCCTTTTACTGCGACTACTCAAGATGTTGACAATTTTCCCATAAATGAGGTAAAAAGTGAAGATGTTGCTTGTAACATCCCCCTCGGTTTAAGAAATCACATAACTTCGTTGCGAAACAGTAGATATGGACCCATTAATGGAAGATAAGAGCATTAAAATACCACTTAAGATAGATTAAAAGTCTAACATTTTTTGCAGGAGAAAACAAAGAACATATTTATTATGCTTTTCACCCTAAAGAAGGCTCTGATTATTCACATAGCACTAACTGATTAATAAAGCACTAAACAAAAAAAAAAAAAAGAAATGACAGAGAAAATCTGAAAAGTAGAACTTATTTGACTTTTTTTTTCATAAACACTGCCACCTCCTCCACAGATGACCAATCCACAGATGGCTGAAGCAAACAGCAACTTACTCTTGAAGTTCTGGGAAGTTTCTATAGACCAGGTACATGACTGAGGCAGAGCAGGCGAATATTGACGCCAGGATCAGCAGAGACATACGTGTTGATCCTCCTATACTTTGTTGAGGCTCTGTAAGAAAAAGTAAGGAAATGGTAAATGATAACTAACTCTTCATATAATTGTAATGTTTATGTTAAAAGTATACAAACTTCCTCCCTGAGAGTTTTGTGAAACATGTTTGTGTGTTTTGCATCACTTCTTGAAGCCCCTAAGGGAGCTCTGCCTCATATGAGACACTCTTGCTCTTGCTGTCTATTTAATAAAGGTTTTAAAAAAATGTGTAGAAAAGATCATACTATTTAAGAACAATCCAAGGATAGCATGTTTTTCTGAGAACCTTTTAGCATTTTCTATTTAATCTAAGTCAGCAAGTGTATGATTGATAGGGCTAAAGAACCAAATTAAATGCAAATTATTAAAAGAAAAACATAAACAATGAGGGCTGAAAAGTGCAAACCTGATGTTATTTTTTAATGCCTAGTTTTCTGACACTTTATTTAAACTCATAAATAAACATAACATTAAAAGCTATTTGGCCAACCGAATGTCTGGCTGAATGAGTGGAGCATCTCTGGCTTTCAGACTAGCGGCAGACAGCAATGCACCCACTAAGCCTGGTTAACTAGATTTTAAGAGCGTAAACAATGATACATTTTGTTTTAACATTCTAAACACCTTTATTAAATCCACATCATTTGATCAAATGTGTACACCTCTTTGATACTCTTTAATTTGAACCACAATATAACCATACAAAAAGGCAGATGAAGCTCAGATCTGCTCTGAATGTTACGAAAGAGGATTAGGACCACTGAAAAGAATTTTAAAAAGTTAACTGATCTCTAAATTTTATTTCAGTTTATTATGAGAAAAAGTCAAAATTCTGAGAAAAAAACGTCAAAATTCTGAGGGAAAAAAGTCAAAATTCTGAGAAAAAAAAAATCAGAATTTTGAGAGAAAAAAAGTACACAATTCTGAAAACCAAATGTTTAATTTTGAGGGAAAAAAGTCACAATTCTGAGAAAAAAAAGTCACAATTCTAAGAAAAAAAAGTCACAAAAAGGTCACAAATCTGAGATTAAAGTCAGAAATCTGAGATTAAAGTCACAATTCTGAGATTAAAGTCACAATTCTGAGATTAAAGTCACAATTCTGAGGTAATTTTTCCCATATTAAACTGAACTAAAATAAAAAAAAATCAGTAAACTTTTTTTTTTTCTAATCCTCCTCTGTAGAATGTTGACAGACTAATAAGAATATAATATTTACAGTCCATAACAGTTTGTCTTACTTTAAAAAGAGTGGAACAAGTACTTAAGGATTTTGTTAGCTGTATTGTGTCAGATGGACATTTAGACAATAGCCAAACACTTCAAAAAAAAAATAGTTTTCTGGGTTTGTTTTAAGTAAGAAATTGTTATTAAAGAAGGATATCAAATAAATATGCCCTTCACGGACAGAGCATGATCGCGATTTTAAGAAGACAACTGTTCAATTCACATTTCTTTAAAATCCTCATAGATTTGGACTTAGGTCTGTAAAGGGAACAACATTAATCAATACATCATTTGCAAATATTAACCAACATTCTTTATTTTTCTTTTTTATTCTTCAAACTTTAAGGTCTCATCTACTTAATTTTGAAATAGCAGACATGATTGTGAGTCTGGAATAATATATAAATGGTTAGCAAAAATGCATAAACAGTGCATGACAGTGGGGGATATCACTATCCTTCACAGATCAAACTGAAATGATCTGTTATATACATTATACTGTTGTGATTTCTTTCATGAGGGTAAAACGTAGGTAATCGTAGCAATTCAGGGGATATTTGTTCACTCTAATTTCTAACAATCTTTTGAGATTTCAGGCAAAAATTCTGATTTATTCCAATAATACATCTGCTATACAGCTGTTGGAGTAAATCCATTTACCCAGCTCAGTGTGCTCAAAACAAATTACAAGAGATGACGAGCAAAAGCATTAGTGTGCTGTCCTAAATCAGGATCAAATGTGACAGAACTAGTTTTAGTATGTTTTTATTAAAACACGCCAATATTTAGGTCGATGTAAGTTGAAAGACGAATGTTTGTTGAATTTATTTACGCATAGAATCTAAAACCCAGGCATGTTTTAGATGTTAATATATTTTAAGGATTTTTCTATGTCCCTAATGTGAAGAGACGGCGTTCTTACCACCGTTTCCCTGCTGAACTTATTTTTGGTGGTGATGCTATCAAGCTAACCATGGGAGTTTTCTCTTTAGGTTAATTTCAGCTAGCTTACTTTGGCTAACATTAGTTCCTGGTCTTTAACACAGGTCGACCTCCATGTAAACAATAAGATATGTTACTTAATCGGGAGGTTTTGTAAATAAGTATTGATTTCATCTCCCCATAACTCAGCTGCTAGCCTCTATAGGAGCATACTACCTTTCAAAAGCCGAGAGTCGCAGTCGCTGGACTTCACTTCCGCCTTCGCTAAAGAGGACATATTGTCCATATCTCGTACATCTCTCCGCTTCTTGGCCATATTATACAGCTGTTGCTAAAATAAATATTCAGTTTCTCGATTAGTAAATCGACAACACCCCCCGGCGCTCAGTGTCACCGGGTATGGTGACAGGCAGCCTGCTGACACGTTACACTGCGCGACCTTTTACCTCTGCGCTGCACTTAGGGCTGCAAACACCGCGTCACCTGAAGTAGCGCCCCCTACCGGAACACAGTAGCTCCTCAGCCTTTCATGAATGAAAGTTTCCAAAATCTGTTTTAATTTCTTCCTGTGTTTACCTTTTTTAAAATGTTGGACAACAGATAAAATAGTAAAAATACAAAATAGAACCTGACAATAAATGACTTAATGTAAGCATAATTGACTCTGAATGTTTGGCCAATAATTTGATTCTACTCTAATAAAAACATACTTTATTGATCCAGATGGTAAATGAAATTTTTTTTTTCTTGTATTTTTTATTTTATTTTTTTTTACTCCTTATTACAGATGATGATAGCTCTTGGCACGAAGGCTTTTCTTGTATAGCAAAAGATATGCACAGGCCTCTTACTGAAGACGCTCTTTTGTTTACCAGTTCTGAACAGGATGCTCACTGTTGTCAATAATGTTCTCAAACACCAGCAGCTCTAGAGATGTTCTTAAAACAGACACAACCATCTTTTTAAAATGTTTTTAAAGCTTTTTAAAGTCATTTGCTCTGATGCTGTTACCCCAATGGCAATGGTGGAGCTAGAAATTTTGCATGAGGATGGCCAGCACTGAGTGGGGGGACGAAAACTGAAAGGCACCAAAGCCAGTTAAGAATCAATAAGCACTGATCATACTGTACCAACAGAAAAAAATTAATGTTTTCCAAACAAATGACCAGACCAGGTTTCCACGAAGCCCTTACTAATAACTGTACACATATTTATACATTTATATTGTCTGAATTATTCCAAGTGATCGATGAGGTCTGGAGTTTCTAACAAGGTACAGTAAGTTAGACTAATTTATGTTAAATGCACTTAATTAATCAAATAAACATGACCCTCAGGGTGCTGCCTGCTTTGCCTAAATGAAAGTATGTTTGTTGAAGCAGGTGGATGATGCAAATTGCAGGGCGTGCTGATAGCTTCTTGTTTTCTTGCTCAAGTGAACCAACAGTGGCCCATCATGAATTGGAATGTCAGGACAACAGGGCTATAGTCACAGAGGACTATTGGTTTTATTTTGTACCACAACAAGGCAGGGGGTCTTCCAAATCACTGTAACTGTCCCCTGGGTCACACTTAGTTTGAAGAAGTGCTGAAGAATCCCACAGACCTGCTCTGCACAGGCTATCAGGACTCTGGGGCAGACATCATCTAGACCTTGTGAGGTATTGTGATAGTTGGCTCTTTATTAGACTTCTAGAGTCCGACAGCTGGAAGGGGGAAGGAGCAGCACCAGCTTCGGTTGTGTTTTAGAACAAGTGCATAAAAGAGGGAGGGTCCACGGCAGAGGTGGAAGATAAAGCATGAGGTGTGAGAGGGAAGCCTTGTATTAAAGCAGGGTGGGATGTCTGTTTGACTGTGGGGAGGAGAGAAGGATGCTGAGCTTGTTCCTGAACTTAATGAAGAAAGAGTCCAGATTATTGTTTCTGTCTCCATCTGTCTGATTCTCCTTTGTGAAGCCTGTAGCCTTCTGAGAATCAATGCTTTCTTAATTGATTGCAATTGGATTTTCTAAGGATTTTGAAGTGCGTTTTAGGCACAGGGTGGATAAGATATGTGTATGTAAATGTACATTTATAAACAATGAAAATAAATCTAAAACACAACTTGGCATTTTTTATACTATATGCACAGAAAAACTAATTTATTTAAGCTTTTAATCTTATTTTAAAGACAGAGACAGGTTTTAAAGCCAAAAAAACTTTCTTGCCAAGCAGCAAACATACAGAACATTTTGAGAGATTTAGCAAATGCTACAGGATGAGATAGGTTATGTCTTTATGAAAGAAAGACTTGTATCAAGTATTGGATGTAGAATCACCAACAATTTTGTCTTGAATAATTTTTCAAAAAGGTTTAGGGTGTAACAATCACAGATATATATACATCATAATCTGGTACTTCAATATCTCTTCGACATGATGTTTCACAATCAACAGAAACATCCAATGCTGCAAAACACTTGTTATCTGACAGCAGATTGATTGCTGCGATGGTATATAAAGATTAGAGCCACTGTCCTATAGTTTGTAGCTACACCAACCTTGGTATCTCGTCAAGATTTTTTTTTTTTTTTCAGAATTTCTTAAAACTGGCCCTAACTCATTCCTAAGCCACATTTTGAAAATATCAAAGAAAGTCAAGAGTTTTATCTGATGCTTTATAAATCCAATGCTGTCTCATTTGTGGGAGACCTCAAATAAAGAAACAAAGCAGAAAAACAACGAACAAAAAAGACAGCTCTGAAGATAGGCAATTTATGCAGATAATGGAAATAAAACATGTAAAAATATATTGCAACAGATAAAAAACCTAGGAAAAATATAATATAACATTTATTTCTAATTTCCATCCAATCATTAGTTATTGAAATGCATCGCTAAAAAAGTTGTGAAGATTTAATGCCACATATTCATGAACGAATAAAAGAAGACAACTTGTTAACAATCTAATTCAGAGACATTTGCATGACACAAAACAAATTAAAAATGTTTAAATTAGAAAAAAGGCACAAAAATTTTTTTAAAAGGTGATGACAGAACAAAATATCACCACAAACCATTCACAATAAAAAAAGAAAATTATAAGTATACATTTTTTATTAGGTGTGTTGTTTCCTGGACTGTTTGCTGGATGTCTTGTTCCAGTCTACAATAAAATGGGATAAATACATTTACAAGGAGACTGGTCTGGTGTCTGTTTATATGAAAACCGTCTTTTAGTCTTATAGACTGTGTAGAAGCAAAAATCTAATATTTAAAATGTCTGATACTACCTTCACATGTGCACGGAATAGTAAAAGTAAATGTAGCTGAACCAGCTGCTAATAATTCAGATATATTTTCTGAATGATTTGCTATATCTGACTTATTAGCAGCTAGTCTGAATGCAAGAGGAGGTTAGACCAGACAGGGTGGTGGGCTGTACAGATTCCAAAGCAGTTTTAGAAAGTATACAGGGAGAATGAAAAGATAGAGAAGATTTAGTATTAGAAATCAAGCAGAGTCTATTCAGATTATATAGGGGTGGCATTGATATTTGGTTATTTTGGGTTCCGGCACATGAAGGTGTAAACGGCAATGTAAAGCAGACATATTGCTTATGCATTCCCACTTATTGTTTTTCTGTTTATATTTATTATTATTCCGTAGGTTTTTCTTCGTTTAACTAGTTCAACAGTTTTCAGCTGATTTAAACAAATTTGGTATCAAAACGTTCAGCTTGTTCAGGAGAGTTATGCTATGACTTTTGGTAAAGATATTGTTCACAGTTTTCGCGATATTCAGCTTTTTCTGCGATTTTTGGCCCCATTGAAATGCATGTAAAACTTCAAAAATTCCACTAAATCTTCAGCTACTTTGCCCTTTAACTACTTCAGCATGCTTTCAGCTAGAAACACCATTCAACTTTTAAAATGTTTCCGTATCTTTCTGCTATTACTGTTTAACTCGGCTTTCAGCTAACTTCTACAGTTTTGCTTAAGTGAAGCTTCAAACTTTTAAACAATTTTTACAGATTTTCAAATTTATAATGGAAGTCTATGGACGGAATGTTCAGCTGCTAGAGTGTGCCACTCTAGCGTTTTCAAACATTTCACTCATGCCGAACAGCTTCAACTCACTCGTTCATTTTTTACTCTATCTAGATAAATTTTACATCAAAACGTAGGGATTTTTGTCAGGATTCAGGAAATGTAACCCTCATTTGTGTGGCATTTACGGTTTTTCGACAGTTTGTCCCAGACCACGAAGAAGTCCACACTTCTCCAATAGAAATCCAATGAGAGCTCTCTGAAAATCCGAACTGAAAATTCAGAAAAACTGACTTTTTCGTATCGCTCCCATTCGGGAACCGTTTGACGTAGCAACACGAGCCTTGTGGAAGTTGTTCCTCAGACCTTCCTAGCACTCACATTGAAGGAAGTGTGTCGATATCTTTTATCGTTTAGCTAGGAAAAAGGTTTGTTCGGGGGTAACAAATCTGTCCGAACCCCAAAATCAAGATTTTGACAATTATACACTTTTTTACATCGTCACCACGCCTAGACGAAATATTGTAGAAATATGAAAGTTACACCAGTTGTAGTCCAAAGACGGCTGACGCTCACGGTGAAAGAATTTTTTGAATACCTAATACGGTTTTGGCTCACCTCTCGTTTGTTCGGAGGGAAAGTTTTGCTTTTGAGAGTTCTGCTCTACCATTGTTCTGCATGTTATTCAATGAGACCAGCAGGATTTACAAACCTTTATATTTCTCCTTCCCATTAAGGCTGTGAATGAGCTACATCCATGAAAGTGACCCCAATTGGAGACAAAGGATAGCTGTTGCTTAGACTGAAATAATTTTTTGGATACTATTTACGGTTTGTCTTCAGCACTCGTTTGTTCGGAGCTGATAATCCCATTCAAAAAAGCCTGAGAGGAAAGGAACGAAAGTGATGCGCATGTCTCTCTGTCACTGACAGGCTCGTTAAGCGTTGTCAAGGTTACCGTGCTTCAAAGAGATTTTACCTCCACCACTTTAAATAGCACATTTTAATCTAATGGAGGGAGAAAACACTGATTTAACATTAGGAAGTGGATACAATATGACTACTGGCCATGACCCTTCCCTTCACACGCAACCCTGATAGACTTTCAAAATAAGACTCCGGGGACCCTTCAAAATAAAAGCCCCTAAATTAAACTCATATTTTTTTCCCAGCATATGGCTCAACATTATGACCCAAACTCAACCACTTTTTTAAAAATGAGACTCCAGGGGGTTTTCAAAACACACCCCATGGAAAATTTCAAAATAAAAGCCTCCCATTGCCACTTTATCTACTGCCCTAATAACAAGGGAAAAGAGTTATTTAACGATTGGAAAGTCATCAAGTATCACTGCTGGGTCTGACCCTTTTCTCAACACACAACCCTGCTAGACTTTCAAAATAAGACTCCAGTGACCCTACACAATAAAAGCCTCTATATTATACTCGCCTATTAATTGATGCAAATGGCTCAGCATTATGACCCAAACTCTACCAGCTTGTTTCTATTAGACTCTAGGGACCTTTTCAAAACATACCCCAGAGCAAATTTCACAATAAAAGTCTCCCATTTACGCTCTAATACAGCATCTATTCACCCAATAACATGGAAAACCAGTGATTTCATATTTAGAAATGGATTCTATATCACTGCTGGGCATGACCCTTCCCTTGACACACATCAATGATAGACTTTCGAAATAAGACTAAAGGGACTCTACAAAATAAAAGCCTCTTTCTTACATACACTCATTCATTGTGCCGTATGGCTCGTAGCTATGACCCAAAGTCAAACAATTTCTTCAAATTACACTACCAAGGCCTGTTGACCACACACCTCAGTGCATATTTCTTAATCAGGTTCTAAGATTTACACTGTAATAAAGCATCTGCTAACCTTGTAACATGCAGCCTAAGCCTGCCAACGGTGCTGTCTTTAACACAGCGGCTCGTAACATGCAGGTTCAATTTTTTTTATAAATTCAGCTCCTTAAATGGTATTAGCTCTCTTTCTATAAGCTTCTCTCTCTGTCCTTCCTCTGCTTCTCATGGTCAGTCTTGCACATAGGTTTGTAGATTTTCAATCCTCTAAGGATGACACTGTTTTCTTTATGCTGATCAACCGACACATTTTAAATAATTTTTCAATTGTTTTGCCAAGTCTTGACATTTCCACATATGATTTCAAAATGTTAATACTTATTCAATACCATCGTCCTCAACATTTTACTTCCCATCCTTAAGCTACTAATTTTTTCTTCAACCAGATAAGATTAAAGTTTTTCTTTGTAATTTATTTTCTACTTCAGCTAATTTCATACTTTTCAGCCTATGTTGTGAACTTTGGCTTCATTCTGATATGTTTCTGGACAGGAATTAAGCTTTTCTGTTTGCTGCTAATTCATTACACGCCTGACATGTTTCTGGAAAGTAGGTAAACCCCCTTCAAAATTTCTTTATACATTTTTCTAGAAACTTGGGAGACATTATATTAAGACCCTTCTAGTGCCCACATTCAAGACATTTTTTTATATCATGTATGGTTTGGCTGTGCAGCTTTTAAGATGAGTTTGTTTCTGCCATTTTACTGCCAAATGATTCTACCCTACAAAATCTTCAGATGATTCAATTGTTTTCTGCAGTTTGAAGTTTCTGATGACTTCCTATCACATTTTCATATGTTCTTCGGGTAATTTCAGCTTTTTTCATTCAGCAAAAGCATTCCCACTTTGATGTTTCTCCGAAACAGCTTTTTCTAGTTACAATTCCTTTTGGGAAAGGGGAAGGTAAATCACTTATTAAGAGAAAAGAAATGGAAAAATGGCAAAAGAGATGGAATGAAGATAAGAAAGGAAGATGATTATATAAGGTACGAAAATCAGAATTAAATAGAATCATTAATGAGAGAAACAGAAGTGAAGGACTAATAATAATCAAATTAAGAATGGGTCATACCTATTTAAATAACAGTTTATATTTAATAGGGAGGAAAAATAATGATGAAGTGAAGGATGTGGAGAAAAAGAAACTGTAAAACTTATGAACATTAAAGGGAGAAATTAAGAAGGATGGTTGGAAGGACAGGCCAAGAATGGAGTCTTAAAAGAATATTGGGAAATGAAGGACATATAAAGGATATTCACAGATTAAGGAAAGCATTATTTATTTATCTACAGAATACAAAATCAAAAAATTGAATTTGATGTAAGGTAATGTTGCTTCACACTCATGTACAGTAAGTGGCGGTATGGACCTTAAAGTTGCTTGCGATCCACCCTATTAGAAAAGAAGAAGAAGAAGCTATCTTAAACTACAACTCCCACATTTTTTCAGCTGTAGCCGGATGCTCTTGTTACACAAATTTGGCGCTGATCTATCCGGGTACTTCATTCACTGCTTCCTTTCGCGCCGGGTAGCCGGAGAGCCGTGCGTCCATGTGCGCAGTGACTGGGAACTGATAGACCTCTGAGATATTAAAATCCGAGCCGCAAACAGAGTTTTCGCGATGGATCCCGAGTCTTTGGTCGAGGCCCTTCGGGGGACGATGGACCCCAACCTGCGGGAGGCCGCAGAGCGACAGCTGAACGAGGTAAAAAGTTTAGGTTAGCTTTTGGTGGTGATGTCAGTTTGTGGCGCGGGCTCAGGCCTCGGTCCTCCGCAAACCTAAAGATGCAACAGACGCACACCGGGCTCTGCTGTCGCTAACTTGACATATTGAAAATTTAATCTTTGACGGCTTATTCACAGCTCATTCCCAATATTTACTATTTATCTCTTCATTACCACATTTACGCCCTGTTTTTATTTTACGGCGATGACGATAAAAGCCACTAGCTTAATTTGAAGCCAGCTGTGTGGCTAATGCTAACCAAGTTAACCAATTCTGGGCTGGTAATTTATAAAACCACAGAGTATGACAGACGCCCAATAGGTTCGAGATCACATGTTTGGTTTATCTGGTAACACATAAAGCTACAGGAATCACCGTATGAGTGTTTTGTCGGGGGGGGTATATCAACAGCAGGACTGCTAGCCGTGCGGCTACATCAGTTAGCTCCGCTACATAGCTTTCTCTGCTGCTCACGTGTCACCGTGAAACGATGGGAGCAGAACACAATGCTGCTTAGGATCAAATAAAACATTACTCTGATCATTGGAAATCTGTTGTTTGTTTCTATCTCTTTACTCAACGAGATGGTGAATAATTAGCAGCTTTATATATCAAACAAATGCAATTCAGCTCAGTTAAAGTTCGCCGTCGACCCTGAATCCGCCTGTTAAATGTCCTTCTTAAAATATTAAGAGTATAGGAAATATTGACTATAACTAGCAGGAAGTGTGGGGTGTTATTTGTCTGAATCGTTTGCAACTTACTGTTTTCATTTAATTAACAGAGCTGTGTGTATATTTAAAAAAACAAACATTGAGTGTTGTTTAGAGGTTTTCCACTATACTAATGGTGATTACAGATTAGATAGACCTGGATGTTGCTGGAAAGCTATAATCTGGAAAAGCAACAATCCATCAATTATAGTTGAGAGAAAATGTTTATAAATAAGACTCCCAAAAAAGTTTGGTATGTTTATGCTGGTGAAGATTATCAGTCATCCAGGTCTGAGTCATTAAAATTTTTTTTTGAAACAATCCACTGGACTTGGTTTCTGAGTTTGAAGATGTTTCGCTTCCCATCCAGGAATATTTTCCAATTCAAAATGTCAGGAATAATGTTGAGTTTGAGGCTGGGCTACTGTATAAATCCTTAATCTCAACACTATTCCTAGCATTTTGAATTGGAAAAAGCTTCCTGGATGGGAAACTCTGAAACCAAGTCCAGTGGATTGTTTTTAATAATTTTGGAATGATTTGGTATGTTTATTTTGGAGTGGGAGGTAGTGGCATTAGAGTTAAACAGTATTTGAAGTTTGAGATGGATCCAAAATCTAAACAAAAATCAGCTGAAGTGTGTTAACAGTTGAAATATTGAGTGTTTGCCTTAGTTCCTCTGTTTAGTAAAACATCTTAATACCTACAACACCTCCCTGATCTCGGTTTAAAAAAGACTGTTACCACGTTAAAGGATACAAGCAGATTATGTTTTAGGCTTAACAAAGAAGGATTCAAGTAAAAATCATATTATATTTGGACGTTACTATTTAGGTTTTGGTTTTTATTATTATTATTTTTATTTTATTTTTTACATCAATACACTTAAGATTTCTATCAACAATCAAAATGATGACAAATGTTCATGTTTTGCTCTTGAAAATCAAACATCTCGAGATTATTTTTGGCAGTGCTCAGGGCAAGTTTTTTTTCCCCTCTCTCTCATACACCCACATATGCGTTGATAGTGATGGTTCACTTGAATAGCACAGCTGAGAATACTGAGTGTGTCCGACACAGCCTATCTGAATTCCAGCCTATCTGAATTACATTTAAACAATTTGTCTACAGAGATTGGAATATACGTCCAATCATACACTTAATTTTCTTTTTAAAAAATGATACTAGTTGTGAATAATTTAATGATTCACAATGCTGCTGTCCAAGGTTAAAAGTGACTGTTAAAAAACCAACTGGATTGAATTATAAAATCTGTAAAAAAAAAAAAAAAAAATCGTTAATCCTTTCTAAACTATTACTGCTGTTTTTGTCGAGACACTAATGGACTGAATAGAGTCCTAGAACAGCAGGAAGACTGAGTCATTTACTAATGCTTAAGTGTAAATGTTGAGAGAGCTTGGCATATCACTGTATTTTTTGCTTAACATTTGCTTCCAAACATGCATACATTTTCTTCTACAGTCAATGTACGTAATGATTATATATCAATCTTTAAAATGTGATCATAACTTTAATGAAAGGAGTGCTACCACAGGGCATTCATCCCTGCTGCCATCAGACTATACAATGCAACACTACAAAGTCAATAACTTGTGCAATTACTATTTAATACCCTGTGCAATAATCAGTTTTTTAAATATTCAATACCCAGTGCAATAGCTATATTGCAATAAACCTTTATAATAATACTGCTAAATAAGAGACTTTTATATATATATGTGTGTGTGTGTGTGTGTGGACACACTGTATATACCCCCTGCACTTTTTCCACCTTTTGGCACCTCCTTTTTCTTTTTGACAATTGAGCCAATGTAGCGAGTAGATTTCTCCACTGTGAGATCAATAAAATCAATCAAATTGGTATTTTTTAAACTAGCATTTTAAATTTTTATGACCCAATTGAACTGTTCTATAAACATACATTTTCATCTTGCTATATGTAGTGAGGACCATGTGATGAAACATAACTTCGGTTGATTATCATTTCAATCCCTTCTATGTTCTAACCCTAAACTTAACCTAAACTCTATTTACACTTTAGTCCTAAACTTTAGCAAAAAAAAGGGAGTGAGGACCAGCAACATGTCCTGGATTTGCAGGTGAAATCTGAAAAATTGTCCTTAGAACAGGATCACGAACACAATTTGTAAACAGTCCTTCAAAACTTGGCTAATTGGTTGTTCACGGTACATTCAGCAACAGTCTAACAGTATAAGCATCCTAATGGCTTATTTTCAAGACGTTCAGCGCATTCATTTGGCGCGTCCATGTGTGACTATTATTGTTTTTTTCTAATTTTCTCTCCCTGATCTAAATTTCCAGGCTCACACCCAGGTAAACTTCATGTCCACTCTGCTGCGCGTCACCATGACTGATCAGCTGGATTTGCCGGTTAGGCAAGCAGGTGAGGCTGTATCCGGCTGTTATAGACACAACAAGAGCCAGCTCTGAATATGCTGTAGTTGTCATTTGGTAACCGTGTGATTAATGTCACAATAAAATTTCAGAATAACATCTGGGAAATAACCATGAATGAAATGGGGATCGGGACCCTTGAGCACAAAACCAGCAATGAATGTTTTTAATTAAACACACTTGGGCTTCATTTTCCTCAGAGGAAATTTAAATTTTCTTTTATATATATATATATATATATATATATATATATATATATATATATATATATATATATGAAAATTGAAATTTGTATATGTATGTTATGCAAGCGAGGAGTTGTGCACATGTTTGATTAGATGGGATATATTGCATGATTCATGAGTCATGGCTGTTTTTATGAGGTTAAAGGGCCTTCCTCTTGTTGTGCACACAAACTGCTTGTTGCATGCAAACTTGCATGCTTCTGAATGGAGAAAAGAATGTAGGTTTAAAGTTTGCTGTTCAAACTAGTACCTTAAAGTCAATTCTAACACATTCAAAGCGCTGCATTTAAGTGTGGAAAAAAATGTGGGGCAGAATCAAGGAGCAGTTTTACTGAAACAGTTTGAACAACCTTAAGAGAATAAAGGGAATTATAAAATAACTGCTGTTGACCCCCCTCATAGGGCTTTTTCCCCCCTATCAAAGCTGTGGAAGCTGACGCAGATGGGACCTTTTTTCTTTTCATTTATCTTGGTTTCTTATTAAATTGCCATTAATGACGATTTGAATGCCTGTTTCTTTGTGCTTTGGTGGTCTGGGGTGAATAGAAGGCTGGGGTGGGGGTTTTATGCTTTGTCAGCCTCCACAGGCTGGATTATGATCACCACTGGTGGAGACATTTGTGTCAGCACTCTGACGTCTGCTCTTGCTTCTCTTCTTTGTCAAATGCCTCTCCCCACGTGTCATGCAACTGAGTGCTGTGGAGGCGATGCAAACTCAAGCTGGTGTCACGTTAAAACCTCTCCTCTACAGAAGGAAGAGTTTATTTGGGCAGCTCAGACTTTTAGTTGCTCTAAAAATGCATAGAGCAGCCAAATCTGGGGGGGTAAATTGCTTTTATTGGTTCTGTTTGGTCATGACAGCTGTGTTCTCTTCTTTTTAGGTGTGATTTACCTGAAGAACAAGATCATCCAGCACTGGAGTGATGGAGAAGTTGCAGGCACAGAGCCACCAGTTAATAACATCCCAGAGGAAGACAGGCAGTTTATTCGAGACAGCATAGTAGAGGCAATCATCCAGTCCCCCGAGCGCATCAGGTAACCACTGATCCTGCTGGCTACTTTAAGCTGGAGGAGCTCAGTTTCTTCTTTTCTTTGTCATCCAACCATCTTACCCTGCCCGTTAACGCCTCATATTTTTACTCTCTTCTGAATCAGAGTCCAGCTGACGACATGCATCCACCACATCATCAAGCACGACTACCCCGGGAAATGGACGAGCATCGTGGACAAGATTGGCTTCTACCTGGAGTCTGACAACAGTTTAGCCTGGCTGGGGATCCTGCTCTGCTTATACCAGCTCGTCAAAAACTATGAGTCAGTCACAGTCCTGGATCCTTGGGGCGGGGTTTATATTATCGGTGTCGTTATTAACGCTCAGGTTGATATTTGACTCAGATATAAGAAACCAGAAGAGAGGCAGCCTCTGGTGGTGGCCATGCATATCTTCATGCCCATGCTGAAGGATCGCTTCATCCAGTTGCTCCCAGATCATTCAAACGAGTCTGTCCTCGTACAGAAACAGATCTTCAAAATTCTCTACGCTCTCTTTCAGGTACAGTTAGATCGAGTTAACCAACTTTGATGTCGTTGATTTGCAGTCAGTTTTATGCTCTGGGATTGGACATTGTTTTTTTTTTTTTCTTTTCCCCTGTCCAGTATAACCTCCCTCTGGAGCTAATCAACAGACAGATTCTGACAGAGTGGATGGAGATCCTGAAGACGGTTGTGGACAGGGACGTTCCCCCAGTAAGAAGACAGAATTTCTCAAACCTGCATTAACATTAATAATAATCGTAAAAAAAGCTTTCTTTTATAAAGTCCTGCATTAACCCACTGCCCTAATATTATCTTTGCAGGAGACTATGCAGATTGATGAAGATGAGCGGCCTGAGCTTCCGTGGTGGAAATGTAAGAAATGGGCCCTTCATATCTTGGCTCGACTGTTTGAGAGGTAAATCCTTCAGCCGTGTCCTTAACCTGCCTTCTGCAGAAATCCAGTCATTCAACCTGGTTTTAACTTTGTAGGTATGGGAGTCCAGGCAACACAACCAAAGAGTATGCAGAGTTTGCTGAACTGTTCCTGAAGGAGTATGCAGTGTCTGCCCAGCAGGTAGAAACGACTAACTGTAATCAAACTGAACCGTAGCGTATGAGATCTTGGTTAAACCAAGTCGTTGTGTCTAATAGGTGCTGCTGAAGGTCTTATATCAGTATAAAGAAAAGCAATACGTGGCTCCCAGAGTTCTCCAACAGACCCTTAACTACATCAACCAGGGAATAGCACACGCTTTGACATGGAAGAACCTCAAACCACACATCCAGGTACCAATACAGCTTGTTTAAATATCTCATAACCTGTGCTAAAGGACTTAGAGAAACAAGTCATTTTAACATTCATCTATCCAAGTGGCTAAATGTGTTATCAGCAAACAGAACTGGAGTTCATGGGAGGATGGCATTTCTTTCATGCAATCCTTTGTGGTGTGCTTTGTTTTGCTCCTGGCAGATTCACCCATAACTGTTTGGCTAATTCTCGGATCTCTTTCTTTTTCAGGGCATCATTCAGGATGTGGTTTTCCCCCTCATGTGTTACACAGATTCCGACGAGGAGCTTTGGCAGGAGGATCCGTACGAGTACATCCGCATGAAGTTCGGTAAGAAACGCTGCATGTTGTTTACCAATTGATTCAATGTAAAACTGTGACTCTAACATGTGGCCCCTTCCATTAGACGTGTTTGAGGACTTCATTTCCCCAACAACAGCTGCCCAGACGCTGCTCTTCACTGCCTGCAACAAGAGGAAAGAGGTGAGTAAAATTGAAAGTGTATTTTTTTTTTTTTTTTTCTCTGTACCCTGACATGCAGCTTTTTCCATGCTTAAACAATAATTATTGCAGAATAGTATATTTGTAAATAAATAAAAAAATAAGATGTATGTATTTTTTTCCAGGTACTTCAAAAGACGATGGGCTTCTGCTACCAGATTCTCACTGATCCCAGTTCAGACCCCAGGAAAAAAGATGGAGCCCTGCATATGATTGGCTCTCTGGCTGAAATCCTGCTGAAGGTAAGCAGAGCTCTTCTACACGTGGTAATACGTCATGTTTTTTTTAGCTCAGCCTGAAGAGATTTACTCTAAAATATTAATAGCAAACTTGGCATTTTGGTTTAAAATATGAATATTCAACAGAATTTCTATATAAACATCCTGTTTTATTTCCTTAAATACCATTTAAATTGGTTTGAATGTGAAAGTTGAAAGTACAAACTTAAAGTTTGTGTTTGAACGCATATTCCCAGAGCTGCGTGTCCTGAGCCCGTAACATTATCAAACACCCCACCATGGACTGTTCTCCCTGCTGCCCTCTGAGTAGAGGCTTTGCAGCATTCAGCGCAGGACCAGCAGATTCTGAAACAGCTTCTTCCCCACCACCATCAGACAGCTGAGCTGTTGAAAAAAACTCTAAATCAAGTCACAGACTCTGCATCAATCTCATCATATCAATGTTTTTTTTTCTACCAATGTTTACAATTGTATCACTGCTGCACATTAAGAAATTGAAATGTCATGAGAGCTGTACTAAATGAAATTTCGTTTTTTTTATACACTCTTTGTATACAAAATGACAATTAAAGTTGTCTAAGTATTATTTCCGCTTAAAAATGTTTAGGAACCCAACATCAACCTTTAACACATCAAATGCACTCTGTTTCGGGAATTTTACTGTGCCTTTAAATCTGAGAACGTTCCCCAAAGAGTTTCATGGTGAAATAATCAAATGATGAAGACTGTTTCTCTAGGTGAACAAGCTACTAAATTTTTTTGTTTTTTTGATGGGCATAAAAAGTCTTGATCAAACGATAAAATCAAATTTCCTCCTTGAGCACAAACACTACGCTTGTCAGGGTTATTGGTGTTCCATGGTAACTTTCTAGAAACACTGGGGGAACATAATGTCACTTCTTCGTCTGCGTTTCCAGCCATTTCAGAATGAAAGAAGTTTATTGAAATCTTTAGTGTTTGATGCAGGAAAAGATCTTGCGTCATGGTGTTACAGTTGTGCTGCTTGAAACTTGTTTTCATGATCGTCATGCTTTTATCGTTGCGCGTCAGACACTGGGGAAGGAAGCACAGGTAGCGGCCCCTTGCTGAGCACAACAAAGCCTGGAGGAGAGAGGCTGCACGCTCCTCACAGACATCCTAGACTTTTATATTTTGTGGATTTTTTTTTCTTCCCTGTGGCAGTTGTGCACAGTTCATATTTTGAATTTAATTTACAGCTTTTGCTGAGTTTTGGTTGAAACTCAAAGCATGCATTTAATCATCATTTCTTTCACAGAAAAAGATCTACAAAGACCAGATGGAGTTCATGTTGCAGAATCATGTCTTCCCCCTGTTCCGCAGTGAACTGGGCTACATGAGAGCCAGAGTGAGTGTGTAAAGCCAGTCATACTTGAGTGGATTTTTGCTCTCAGCTTGTCTTGCCACATCATCTTAATATCTTATTTCTTTAAAGGCCTGCTGGGTGCTGCATTACTTCTGCGAAGTGAAGTTCAAAAGTGACCAAAACCTCCAGACGGCTCTCGAGCTGACCCGAAACTGCCTCATTAATGACAACGAGATGCCGGTAAAGGTGGAGGCAGCCATCGCTCTGCAGGTTCTCATCAGCAACCAGGAGAAAGGTGAGGCTGCGGTCAGTGAAAGGTTTGAGTAATTAAATGCATAATGGACATATCTAATAAAATGTTGTTGTTTTTTTCTGTCAGCCAAAGAATATATTGCTCCCTACATTCGGCCGGTGATGCAGGCTCTCCTGCATATAGTCAGGGAAACGGAGAATGATGACCTGACAAACGTCATACAAAAGATGATCTGTGAATACAGTGAGGAGGTCACTCCCATCGCCGTGGAGATGACGCAGCATTTGGTACGTAGAGTAGTCTCTGATAATCAATGTCTTTCTCTAAACAAAGGGAGAAGGCATCAGTGTGGCTCCCCATCATAGAAACATGTTTGTTTGCATTTTGGCAGGCGATGACGTTCAATCAGGTGATTCAGACGGGGCCCGATGAGGAGGGAGGCGATGATAAAGCGGTGACGGCAATGGGCATCCTCAACACTATTGACACATTGCTCAGTGTGGTGGAGGACCACAAAGAGGTAAGCAGAATGGCCGCCAACCCACACATGCATGTTCTCTGACTGCTTGGCTCCACGCCGCTTCATGAAGGGAGTTCAGGTCTGCTGCAGGGGTTCCTGCCAACATGTTTGCACCACCCACCAACTCCTGGGAACAGGCTCTGCTCTTACCATGTTCTGAATGATTCACAGGCTGAGGCAGACGCTAGAAATAGTGCCGGGGCAAATTGCCACCACGTCTGCTGAGGCTCTACTGGTGCTTAAAGTCAAAGCGCTCCGGTTTGGACATCCTATTTTAGGCTTTTGGATTGCATAATGGCTCTACCTGAAAATATGACGTTCAACATGTTTTGTGCATTTGTTCATTTTTGGACTTAGGAATTTAGTTTTAACCCTCAGTGATGAAAACACTTCCTGTTTCCAGTTAGACCCACTTTACCTCAGCCTGTTACACTTATTGATCCTGCAGGAAAGAAATGAATACATAATCCTCGAAACATCCGTCCCACTTAGTTAGAATAACATAGAAAGCTGAATTCCTTTCAGTTTATCCAAAAAAAAGCGAATGTTTCTGCACAGCTTGATCACATGGGGTGATATGTAAGTAGAAGTGTTTGATTGTTTTAGCTTGAAGCTACTAGAAACCGATAATTCAGTGTTTCTAAGAATGAAAGTTTGAACGGGGGAAAAAAGGGACAAATAAGTGCAGCTTCATTTGTTGGGATAAATAATAAGACGAGGATGTGAGGCCACCAGTCAATCAATCAAGTAGGCAACAGACCAATCAGTGCTGGCAGTTTCTCTCAATGTGAAATGTCTCTTGCCTCCTGGAGCGGCAGGCCTTACCGCCATTAATGTAGACATTTTTGCATCAGAGATATTGTAAACCAAAAAAAAACAGCAAAACTTGGAAAATACTGTCAATTTTTTTCAGTAGAAGAAATGTAATTTAGACATTAGAAACATGGTTCCCCCTATAGAAAAAAACAAAACAAAAAAATCCCAGAAAAGATGGACAGAGGTCCGTTTCTAACATCATACATGATCACTGTGTATCTGTACAAGAATGACAAGCCCCTCCAATTTTATTTTGATTTTATTTTTGATTTAATCAGTTTTTACTGGAAGTGTCTAATGTAGATGACGTGCACTTAAAATCTTATGATTTCTGTTGATGAGTGACTCTTTAAAATACTTCATTACCTTTGCAGTCTTTTATAGGTTACTGTATGGCTGTGACTGCTTACCATAGGCATCGTAGCCCCACAATCACAAATAATACTCTTGAAGAATATGAACATTTAAATTCAGCTTCTACAGGACAGAAGTGTGTTTTTGTATTATTAAACATCAAATAGTGACAATATTTAATCATATTGTTCAAACTTGTAGCCCAACATGAAAAATGTTTTTAATCAACAGTTATTCTAACTTATGGCTTGGATGATTAATTAAAGTTCCAATAGGATAAACGTTAGAATGAATGCCCACCCCTCATAGTTTCAGGCAGAAGCCTAATTTTACAAGCATTGGCTGCTAATATCAACACACAGCGTGATTAAATCTGATTAAAAACATTCTTCCGTTTTTCACTGTTGGTTCTAATTTCACTCACCTGATTTGGTACCTACCAGATGTCCGACAGAACTCTTACTCTAAGCTAAAACAACTGTTTGGTTCTGATGTGGATTTGTCGGGTATTGCTTTAAAATAATTTGAGTCACTTAATGTAGGTTTAAAGTGCTGCTGATCTTTGCTATAAGTTTTGTTGATGAGGCAAAAAGCCTCTACGTTTCAGTGTTTCTGGTAAACAATCACGGCTGGGTTCTGTTCAAAATGGCCTGCATTTCCATGTGGGTTGTGTAATCTTGCAGTCGGCATCACGTCAATTAGTGCCTCAGGATCGATCTCAGATGGATGTATCCCCACATGGCCAACAACTGTCACATTATTGATGTTTAGTCTCAGTTGGACCATTGATGATCTTCCCTGAGCTTTAAGACTAGTTTGCTTTAGATTCTATGGTAGACTGTGGGTTATGTCTATTGCATCTTTTTTCCTTCCACTTAACCTTCCGTTGTTGTTTGCGTATCATTTAGGACGGATCCTCCTTGCTTTACTAAACTTTTATCATTATGAGATCGTCTTAAATAATTTCTAAAGCCGATGCTTAAATGCATCATATATTGCAGTCAATTAAATACTAGTTTAACTCTGGTACTTAAGTATTAAACTCTGCGGCCTTTTTACTTGTGTTGCAGATCACCCAGCAGCTGGAGGGAATCTGTCTGCAGGTGATCGGAACCGTCCTGCAGCAGCACGTGTTGGGTAAGCAGAAGAGATTAACCCCGAAATTATATAATAACTCTGCCAGCTTAAAAGATACCATAATTTATGCTTCTTCCAGAATTTTACGAGGAGATCCTGTCACTGGCCCACAGCCTGACCTGTCAACAGGTGTCACCACAGATGTGGCAGCTTCTACCACTTGTGTACGAAGTCTTCCAGCAAGATGGCTTTGACTATTTTACAGGTAAAAACATGGAAGAAATTGTTTACTTTAGAAGTTGGTTAAGCAAGCAGTTAAATCGGCAGTAAATGCATTTCAGGTAACCAGCAATGTTTGTTTTCTTTTAAAGATATGATGCCTCTCCTTCATAACTACGTCACAGTGGATACAGACACCCTCTTGTCAGACACAAAATACCTGGAGATTATCTATAGCATGTGCAAAAAGGTAACTGTTCATTTCCCTTCATTTGGTGTTGACCTTTAATCAGGGTGTGTTGGGGTTATATTGGCCTCAATCAATTCTGATTGGTTTGGGGTGTTGGTGTGCAGAAGTCCTGATTATATTAGATTTTACCTGTGGGGAATGGAGGTCAATTTTTTATTTTATTTTTTTATTTTAGTAATGTTTTTTTGTCCTAATACAAGATTATTATACAAAATGTATGGTATTTGGAAAGCAAAAAGAAAAAAAACAAAGCTAAAGACTTATAATGTTAAAATTGAAAGAGCTGGGGATAATAAATTTAAGGGGTAGTAACTGTTAATGTATATTTAAAAGGAAATAAAATAAGTAATGGCAATTGCACATAAAACATCATGTTGAATTCTAAAGGTTTGTGTTTAACGCATTACTCTCTGATACAGCTGCATTAAGCATACTATGGGGACTAAGGGGAACAACTTAGAGAGATTAAAATAGAAAAGATTGTGTTGCAACACAAAAGATCCAAACTCTTTATAAATAAAGCAGGATTTTGTAGAGATCCACTGATCTGTTTCCCCCCCCCCAATCTGTTACATGAGCTAAGCATATTGGCTGATATCCTATCTGATGACCATAAATCTCACTATGTGAGTGAAGGCTTTAGCCTTGAGGTAAATATTGTTTAAAAAAATATATAAAAAAAAATGAACAGATATGAATCTAATTTATAATATAATCAACAAAAAGCAGCAAAATGAAATAACAGTTCTATGTAAAGTGCATTGGATTCTATCTCCAATTATTTACTGAGAATTATTTTTAAATCACTATATTAAGGCATTTGAAGACCTTTTATATTAGAGATTCATGAAATTAACATACAAAGCATAAAGTAAATCACCACTAGATTTTATTCAGAAGTTCTTTTCTATTCCAGAAAGTAAATGGTATACATTTTAAATTCAAATTTGATGAATTTCAGTTGCCAGAGTTGGAATGTAGAAAACTGCTAATTCAGAGTTTAAGTAATTTCCATCCTCTGAGTAAAAAAAAAAAGGAGCTGTACACAACATTTTGTTTGCTTCTTGAATTGATTAAATCACCACTGTAATTGTAGCTTAATTTTGTTGTAAGAAGGAAGGCATTCATAAGCTTTTGCTTTGCCCTAAGCATTTTAGCCAAAATCTGGTCTATGTTTACACAATGTGACTTTTTTGTTTTATATGTACATAAACTACATCTTGTCTGATGACAAAGAAAAATGCATCCCTTTGTGTGAATGTCCAGATTCTGACCGGTGACCCAGGTGAAGATCCAGAGTGCCATGCAGCCAAGATGCTGGAGGTGATCATTCTGCAGTGCAAAGGCCGAGGCATCGACCAGGTCAGGCTCGAATCAAAGTAATCTGCCATGATGCTAATGTTAAGGTCCAGCATACGGGTTGTTGTTTAAACACTAGGATGTCCTGCTTGCAGGTCGTGCCCCTGTTTGTTGGCACAGCGCTGGAGCGTCTGACAAGGGAGGTAAAGACCAGCGAGCTAAGGACCATGTGCCTGCAGGTGGCCATCGCTGCTCTCTATTACAGCCCCCCTCTCCTCCTCAACACGCTGGAGAATTTGCGCTTTCCCAACAGCACTGAGCCAATCACCAACCACTTCATAACCCAGTGGCTTAAAGATGTCGACTGCTTTCTTGGGTATGAACTTCATGTTGCGGATTACAGCTGTGGAAAATCGTTTCTATTTTATTTTAGATTGTCGTGGTTTTAACATAAAAATTGTTGAGATAAAATAACTGTTGAAATGTTCCTGTTTACTTAACAGCCTCCATGACAGGAAGATGTGCATCCTTGGCCTCTGTGCTCTCATTGACCTCGATCACAGACCTCAGGCAGTCAACCAGGTGGGCGGGCAGCTCCTTCCTGCAGCCATCCTTCTGTTCAGCGGCCTCAAGAGGGCGTATGCTTGTCGAGCAGAACACGAGAACGATGATGACGATGATGATGAAGATGGGGAGGAGGAGGATGAAACTGGTGAGTTTTTGTTTTTCCCCATCTGTTGCTTTAATCAGGTTTTCCCTTCATTATAATTTGGTCTAAGTCAGTGTTTTTTTTATTTTTAAAGCGGAGTTGGGGAGTGACGAAGACGACATCGATGAAGAGGGCCAGGAGTATCTGGAGATGCTGGCGAAGCACGCAGGAGAGGATGGAGACGACGAAGACTGGGAAGAGGATGACGCTGAGGAGACGGCACTGGAGGGCTACACTACTGCTGTAGATGATGAAGACAACCTAGTGGACGAGTATCAGATCTTTAAAGCCATACTACAGAGTAAGAGGTTCACCTGTCAATGGGGGAAGGGACGGCTTTAATCAGAGGAAGTGGCGTGACTGGCTCATCCGATGATCTCATCCTTTCCTATGCAGATATCCAGACCCGCGACCCGGCATGGTACCAGGCACTAACGCAAACCCTAGATGAGGAGCAGCGCAAACAGCTCCTGGAAATCGGCACACTTGCAGACCAGAGGCGGGCGGCACACGGTGAGCCGGTTTGGCCAGAAACTCCGCCGCACATGAGTCTGAAATAAAAACTATTTAATCATTGCTGCTTTTGCTGTTTTTTTTGTTTTGTTTTTTTTTCCTTTCCTGCATTAAAGATTAAGATAAAAAAATATTTTGGTTTTATGATGTTGCAGTTAATTCCAGTGGTAGACTTGGAATAATGATGGGAAAATTTCAGTGAAACTAAATCAAATGTTTATATTCGAATACAAAGTGAATATTTCATTATAAACTGCAGGGGTCCTATGCAGTTAATTTAAGTTGTTCTGAAAGTCTGGGGTCATTTGGGGAGAAAACATTTTGTTTTCAAAGATGTCTTTTAATATAAAATTATCTCAATTTACTGTGGTTTATGTTAAGTGGACTTTTTTAATATGAATTCTCAAATTGGAGAACTTTATTTTTATGAAAATGACCAGAAATGGAAGCAAACAGCCCAAATTCCAGAAGGCGACCATTTTTCCCAACTTGATTTTTCTCCAGACCCTATTAAAATCAGACCATATAGTTCTTTCTTTCCAGGAAAAAAAAAATTAACAAATTCCAACATCAACCTTTAAATAGGACTGATTTTTAAATGTTCAGATGCTAAGAAAACCATTTTTATTTGCTTGGTTTGAGTATTTGAGAGGATATATCCCAAACTTTTATTTTCTCTTAAAATGTTGAGAATATGGAAAAGTTAAGGAGTCTGAAACATATAATTTTTTTATTGTTGGAATTTGTTATTTTTTAAAGCATGTACATTTTAAGAATTTTTCCCTCAATGCTTCCTGTTTTAACACGCTTTTCATGCTGTCTTTAAATATGATGCAAAATACATTTCGAGCTGAAAGGTGCTTTCAGAGAGCAGTAGTGCATGTTTCTTATCTGGCATTTAGTCTCACCTTTAATGTTCCTGTCATTTTAAGTGTTTTTATTTTATTTCAAACCACTGTCACTTTCCGTCTTGTTGCAGAGTCCAAAATGATCGAGAAACACGGCGGGTACAAGTTCACAGCGCCGGTGGTGCCATCTACTTTCAACTTCGGGGGCTCTGCTCCAGGAATGAATTGAATCATCTATTCTAATTTTTTTTTTCTTTTTTTTTTATTACTCTGTGACTGATTGTAGTGAAGTGAGAAAAAAAAAAGCTTGTGTTGTTCCCTTAAATAGTAGTTCCAGACCTGGTTCTTCTGAGTCATTCTTCAATCTGTCAAAAGAGGGGAAAAGAAGGCACCAAAAGATATGGGGAGGGGGGGAATAACTACAACACAACGGATGGCTCAGGAAACCAAACCATGAACTTGATCAAGACCCAAGAGAAGCTCTAAACAATGTTGTCCCCTGGAGCCCTGAGACAGCAACTTCCTATTTTCTTCCCGCTGAAACAAAAAAAATAATAAATGGGGGGTTACCTGATAGAATTGATAATGGGACTAAATATTTCATTATCACTGTTGTGAACATAAGATCACACCTCTGGTAGTGATTGAATCTGCATAAACAAACATGTTTATGTATATACAAGCCAAGGTTATTGGTTTTTCAAGTATCCTTGGGGGGGAAAAACGACTAGAGGCTTTTGTAAGGTATCCACAGCTGTATTCATATGTAGCATATTGGATAATTCATAGCACTATGTGATACCTAATCTCTGTAAATTAATGACTAGCACTTTCATATTGTTCAGGTCTTCTAGCCTTCTGTATCAGACTGCAAATGTTTTTTTTTTTGTTTTTTTAATTCAAAACTATTTAAAATGGGGGAAACAGGCTGTAACATTGTTACTTTGCAGGTGTTAACAGCTAATTAATAATGCATCTGGTTAGTGAATCAGTTGCAGACATGAGTTTCAGTAAGAGGATGCTTTGGTGTTCAATAAGGCTACGGGACAAGTGTTTGTGAGCACTGGAAGTGGCGTTGGATACATCGTTGAAGCATGTACAGTTCAACTTTTCGTGAAGGTCGCAAGCTTTTGGTTGGTGTATGGATGAACCATCTATATATACAACATATTAAAAGAAGCTAAGGGAAACGAGCCTTTTTCATTTTTCTTAAGGAGTTTTAAAGTCCTGCATACTGAATGTGTTTTAGAATATAGGATTTATTTTCCATCTTTAGAGAAATTTGAATCCGTAAATGAATTTTTTCCTTTAAAGCTGCTCACACAAGTTTGTTTTTTCTTATCTGGCATAAAAAGCAAAAGTTGATAACTAAAGCTTTAAGCAAATTATGAAGCTTCTGGCTTGTAGCCATTAAAACAGTAGAAAATGGCAATTTAAGTTTTCTGTCTTAGGTGATTAAAAGAATTGTCTTAATTTAAAATGCACACAAACCTCTATGATCAGTGCCTGAGGATTACAGCCACATACCTACTGGTTATACACAAGTGATGATAAGCAGCTAGGTACCATTTTTTCTTGTATATTATATACAAATATCTATACTTTTTACTACTTTAAAAAATAAAATCTTGTTACTTTTATTCATCAGATATAAGCTGCAATAAAGCCAAGGGAAAATGCATAATCTGTCCAGTAGGAGCCCTGCTTGTTTATAGGGAAACGGGAAAAGATTATACATGGTGCATCAGATTCCACAATCCTCATCCATTCCTCCCTTAGAATTTAAATCGAAAGTTTTAAAATGTTTTAAGTTCTGTTTGTTTTATGCAGTTTGCAGTTTTAGTTCTGTGAATAGTAGCTTTAAAAATATTCAGCCACTCATACAGGATTTCTGCTCATTTCAATGGATATGCTGTCTCAAGCTTTCATTTAAAACAAACTAGACTAAGTATTTTTTATGTTCTCTCTTCAAAAACAGCGAGCAAAGGAGCAAGATTCAAACCTGATTTTAAGAAAAATTTGTTTTTACAAGTAAATACCATTTAATAAAATAGCTTAATTTTACTTATGTACCAAAGAGCAAAGAAGAGCCTGTATTTTTATTTTTACGTTGAGTAAAGGAGATCAATCGGTACTTTTTAAAAGATTTGTTTTGTTTTACACAGGTATCTACTTTTACTTTGGTAAAGAATGTGAATCCCTTTTAAACCTCTGGAGATAAATATTGAGAATAACAAACAATTCTTAAAGAGTAGAACTATATAACCTAGATATAATTAAATACAATCAGCTGCAAAAGAAACCAAAAAAACAGCATAACTTTGAATCCAGATCACCCTGGGACACATAGACGAGGTGATCGGTGTCATGATGGGGGTTTATCGCTGCAGCTGAGCAGAGGTTAAAGTTGACTGATTCACTGAGAACCAGAATCAGCCAAGCAGCAGCAGATGAGGTGAAGCCAAGATCTGACCCCCCGCCTCAGGTCATTCTTGTAAAGTAGTTGATGCCAAGTTGTGTGTTAAATTTAGGAGAAATATTTATGGTTATTTAGTGTGTTTTAGGCGAAAAATAAGGGGGTTGTTTTTTCCAAGTAATCTTTTATTCATTCATTTAGAAAAATCTTACTTTGTTAAATTAACATTTAGTTTGGAGCTAAATATTTAGTTTGTTTAAAGGTTTAGTGGAGGATCATCAAAGTAAGTGGTCCTCCTAATTGTCAATCATTCTGGTGATGTGTTTAATTTCAATTCAGTTTATTTCTATAGCGCCAATTCACAACACATGTCATCTCAAGGCACTTTGGAGTTCACCAGATCATCATACAGTCAAATTGATTCAAAGTTTTCTATCTAAGGAAAACCAGTTGATTGTGTCGACTTATTGACTCGAATGCAATCCCTCACACTAAGCATGCTTGAAGCGACAGTGGAGAGAAAAAAACTGTTTTAACAGGAAGAAATCCTTCAGAAGAACCATGCTCAGTGTAAGTGGCCATCTGTCATACCCGATTGGGGTTCAAAGAGAAAGAAGCAGAGATACAAAAGGTAACTGTAAAAGGCGGACCAGTCCACAAACCCACAGCCAAGCAGATGAGCTCCGAGCCAGCTCCAATGATGGAGGATGAAGAGAGCACATCCAGTCAGTCACAGTCAGAGAAACAGGACTACACTGAAAAACAGGCCGATCTCCAACATCTATAAACAAAGGTGTTTACTTGTCATATTAGGACTTTTTTTCATATTTTATACTTAATTCTTGCAATTTTATAACTTTGTTCTCATAATGTTGGGACTTTATTCTCATAATTTAGGTAGAGGGTTGTGCATGTGCATTTTTTCTCTTTTTAAGTGGAGAGGGCAGGTGTTGTCAAAAATGTACGAAAATTCTCCATTTTACCTTTAAATAGATATTTAGCTCCAAAATAAATATTTGTTTGCAAATTAAAAATCTTGTTTTTGTTAAATAAATATTTAGATCCAAACTTAATATTTATTTAACAAAGTAAGATTTTTATAAATAAATGAATTAATGACATTGTGAAAAAAAATTTTTGGAAATAAAATAATCCCCTTATTTTTCTCCTAAAACATGCTAAATAACCATAAATATTGCTCTTATTTTTCTTTCCTTAACTTTAAAAAATGCACCGCATAGGAGGCTGAATTTTGGTTTGGATTTGTTGCTGTTCTGAGGATTTTTCTTTAATTTCTATCAACAAAACAGTCCCGGAACTTTGCAGCATCTATTGTTTCATTTCATGAGTGGTTCTAGACAGGGGCCAACGGGGGCCAGTGCCCCTGTGGATCATGTCCTGGCCCTTGTTTTGGCCCCTGTACTGTACAATAAGGTGATAATGGTATTGAGATAGGATCCCAGTTTTCATCTGCTAAGTGTTTTTTTTTTTAATCAAAACAAATAAAAACAAATACTTTATTACAGATGAATTTATCTATCTTTATTTAGTTCTAATTCAGATTCCATAGATACCGGTAATTTTAGCTTAAATTAAGTCAAAAATATGTAAAATTCCTAGATTATGAAGGTTTATTCACCTAATAAGACATCATTTTAATTAAACCTAATTAAATAGAAATTTCACTTCATGTAGGCATCTTAATATATATGAATCCCTTTCCCTGTTTTTTTATTTCATGTTTTTCTGTGCCCCCGTGAAAACTGGCCCCCTGGTACATTTGGTCTAGAACCACCACTGTTTCATTTGCATATATTTTTGGGTTGTTTATGAATATAACTCAGGCAGAAAACAGTAACCCGAACCCCTAACCTTCTGTTTATTTTGAACCCCTGGAGCAAAATAAATTTTATGCAAGATGATAAAACTGTCTCTGAGTTTAAAGAGATACGTACTGTAGAGTACTGAAAAAACGAAAAAGTTAACTGATATTTAAATTTTTATTTCAGTATAATATGGAAAAAAAACTCAGAATTCTAAAACAGACATGGCTACGGTTTGTTGCTATGTTTGTTAGTTGTCAGAATTCATTCAGAATTCTAAGAAAAAGGCAGAATACTGAGCTAAAGTCAGAATCCTGAGATAAAAGTCAGAATCATGAGCTTAAAGTCAGAATCCTGAGATAAAAGTCAGAATCATGAGCTTAAAGTCAGAATCCTGAGATTAAAGCCAGAATCCTGAGATTTAAGTCAGAATTTTGACTTTTTCACTGACTGAAAAAATATTTAAAAATCAGTTAACTTTTTTTTTTTTCAGTGTCCCTAATCCACTTCCGTGGATAACAACACAGCAGCAGGTGGCGCCGATTATTATTAAATTAGGGAAGCTCAGTGAACAACAGGAAGGGAAGATTTCCTCAAAATATTAAATGTAATGCGGAAATGTTGGATTTTTTTTTTTTTTTATCTCTTACTTTTGGGCACATTTTAAGGACTGTTTTGTTAATTCACACAGGGGCAGATTAAAATCCGGAAATCTCAACCAACATTTAAATATTTGGAGAAAAGAACCCGAACAAGGGCGTCACGTGGGGAGTCTATTGCGGTCCTCCCAGGGGCCCCCTGTCATTTAGGCTCTTAAAGAGCCCACAGACCTAAACGGTACCAGGATAAAGACAGAACACAGCTGCAGTGTCGCTTGTTGACAAAATGTGGCTTCGAGAGGAGCTTCTGAAAGCCATCTGGCATGCATTCACAGCCCTGGACGTGGATCATCGAGGGAAAGTCTCCAAATCTCAGTTAAAGGTGCGTTTAACAGCTTTGATCATCTTTACCAACACGTCAAATTTACTCAGTGCAAAGTTTTGATCCAAACTGCATTTATATCGATTATGATTGAAGTAAGAAAACAAGCAACAAAAGTTTAAGAAATATTCTATTTCGAGATGTTGTTTTTTCACCAGCTTGTATATTTTATTGGTCCAACACTGTTGAAAATATAAAATGGAAGTGAACTTGGTTGCTCCTTAAAAATACTTAATAACTAATAAAGTAAGAGAAGTTTTTTATAAAAGTATTCATAATGTTTATCCTGTTAAAGCATTTTTGATAAATGTGTTCTTTTTGTAAAAATAATGAAGAAAAGCTTATTGATCTTTTGTGGAATTGTAATTATACCAAAATATTGTGGAGAGTTATGTCAATTTTTTTTCATCAAAAAAGTCTTAAAATTACTTTAACAGATAAGGATGTTTGGTTTGGGATGGAAAAATATCAACTTCTCAAAACAGAATTTTTATACGTTATTAATGTTTTTGTTATTTATGGTAAATAACATATTCACACCTCCAAATATTTACAACAAAAACCCAATTTCAGATTTTATTATCTATCAATTCTATCAATATCTATATAAAATCCTTTAAATTCAGTTCAAATACTAAAGCCATGCAAATTATAACAGCCCTAAAGAAATATAACCCTTGATCATAGATCAGATTTTGACATTTTAAAATAATAGTTCCGTTCTGTAAAGCCCTTTGTTGTTGTATATGTTTTTAATTAATAATGGTCTATAGTGTTCATGTTTGTTCTTTTTTTGCAATAATAATAATAAAAAAGTTGCATTTAATCCCTATTCACACCTCAAAAACTGAGTTTAGTAAATTACTTTGTTTCCTATAATTCTACACCACACTCTGTAGCAGTTGTGTTAAAAAAACAACTACTATCAACCTTTCTACAATTTGAAAAACATAGATTATAAGCCTTTTAT